AGGACAGCACCCCTCATGCCAGCAGGGCCAGAACTCCTCCCCCTCCGCCGCAAGCATGGGACCCCTCCCCCCGCAAGTGCAGCCACGGGGGGGACCCAGGTATTCGGCCAGCTGGGGGGTCCCCTAACCTCGCCCCCTCCCCTGGAATGCTCCCCGGACACCCCAAACCACCCCAGATCCAGGGGGTCCAGCCCCCCCCAAATAACCAGGGATGACCCCCCCTCCGAACTGGGAAGTGTGGGGGTCTCCCCTCCCCACGCCCAATTTTGGGGTCCCCTCGCCTGCAGGGGCAGCTGGGAAGGCCCCCCCCAGCGATGCTCACCAGGATGCAGCGGCGGCTGGACCAGCCCGCACGAGTCCCGCGGGCGCTTTAAGGGGGGGCCTGGCCCCGCCCCCGGGGGGGCGGGGACGTCACGGGGGCTGCTTGCGTCACGGCGGCCGCGGGACCTCGGAGGACCCCCCGCACCCCCCCCTAGAAGCAGGCCTCCACCGGACACATTCCTATAAATATGTTTTTTTGTAGATGTGCGTACACGTGTATATATACGTGTATGTGGATACATACATATGCAATTTTATATGTATGAATACACACACACGCATATACAAACACAGATGCATACATTGTGTGTGTGTGTGTGTGTGCGCGCGCGCGCGCATATCAGGCACGCATGCACACACAGACATAAGTTTATATAGATGAACACACACATACATATATGTACACAGGTTCCAGTATATTTATGTACACACACACATGCAGGCAGGTTCTTTGCGTAAATGTGATGTCTTTTATTGAACCAACTAAATAGTTGGAAAAATGTTTCTTGGCAAGCTTCGGGGCGTCTACTGTAGAGGTGGTGACTGAAGGCAGAGAAGAGGCTGTCTCTGAAGAGGGAAATAACTAGAAATTAGACGAAGGGCAGGAAAGGAGGGAGCAGATTAGGGGGCAAAGAGAAACGTGCGAGGTCCGGGCTGGGAGGTCCCTGGCTGGGGAATCAGATGTTGGGCAGGATATGTGTGTGTGTGTGTGTGTGTGTGTGTTGTGGAGGGGGTCACGTGAGTTCCACCATGGTGGGTTTGCAGTGGGGGCAGGTCCTGCACGGTGCAACACGTGCACACACGGGACCCAGGCGTCCGGGTCTCTCTCACACAGACACACACGCAGAGGCTGTGGCCCCCCCCCCCCCGCCGGCAGGACCCTCAATGGGCCTTTGTCCGGCGCTGGCACCGGCCGGGTACGGTGGGGGTGGGGGGGTAAGGACGTGCGGCCGGACACGAACACGCCGACACATGCCCGCAGCCCCACACGCACGTGGGCACGAGGAGCCCCGCGTGAGCCCCAAGGGGTTCCAGCCCGGTGGACACGCGCGCACACGTCACGCAGGCACACGCCCCATGCCCGCACACGCACGCACACCCTTCCCCACACACACAAATACAGGCACACACACAAAGATACACACATGCAAAGACACTTCCCCACGCACACGCACACACAGCCCCATGCACACACCTTCACAAAGACACACGCTCCCATGTACTCACACACACATACACTGATATACACCCCATGCACACGTGCACACACACCTTGACACAGATACACCCCCATTCACACACGTGCACACACCTTCACACAGTCCATGCACACGCACACAGACCCACGCTGCGTGTTCACACCCTCACACAGACACACACACGTGCACACCTCCAACCCCCCGCATGCTCTCCCTTACACACTTCCTCGCACGCCCATGCAACCTCCGACTCCCGACGCCACTACCCAGGGCAGACAGGCAGAAGCAGCCCCGCGCAGGCGCACTGGCAGCACCCACTCTTCCTGGCACCCTCCCTCCACTGCCAGCCACCGGCCGGGAGCTCCGCGCATGCGCAGTGTATTGCGGACGCGGAGACGTGGCTCAGCGGGTCAGCCCCCCCAGTGTTCCCCTGTTCGAGTCCCAGCGGCGCCGCTTTCCTCTCCCGCCGGGGGCTCTGCCATTGACGGGGCACGGTGCGGGTTTTTTTTTGGGGGGGGAAACACCCCTGGGGGGTTTTATTCTAGCCCCCGCCTTTTTATTCTTTTGCAGCCTGGTTTGGGGCAAGGGGGGGCACGGCTGTGAGGGGGTGAAGGGGAGACAAGGCGGCTGGCAGGGTCCAGCGCCCACCCTGTGTGTTGCTGCTCAGTGTGGGGAGGGAGGGGGCTGTGTGTGTGCACATGTACACTTCTTGCAAGTGCAACACAAGGGTAGGGTGTGCAGTGTGGGTGTGCTTGCACACAGCTGTGTGCATGTTATGATACAGAGTGCATGTGTGTGCACCTTGTAAGTGCAACACAACTGTATGGTGTGCATGTGTGTACACACGTATACTTCTTGCAAGTGCAGGGCGTCCAGCATAGGCATGCATGCACACACACACACGTGCCCTGGACACCTTACATTTGTCTTCCACTTGCAAGAAGTGTACATGTTCAACCCTGTACAGTTGTGTTGCACTTGCAAAATGTCATGCGCTGAATGTGCAAGCACAAACAGATACACACACACGTACGTGCATGCCACCCCATTTTCTTGGTTCTGGTTGCCTTTCCAAGCTGGACCGACACCTGCATTGCATTACAGAGCACACCTGTGTGTGTGTACCAGTGTGTCACATTTTGTGCCACCTTGTGTTGCATGCTTGCAAACTATGCACCACCCCCTGCTCCCTGCCCCATGGCCCTGCACCCACAGCAACCCCTCCACCCTGGGCCACACCAGGTCCCGCCCCCCACATGCATGGCCTGGAGGGTCCAGGGCAGCCTCCCCACACCCAAAATATGGCTCAGGAAGAGGTGGAGCCAGGCACAGATCAAGGGCGGTGGGGGGGGAGGGGGGGTCTTTATTGTGGGGTTTCTCCTGGGTAGTCGTTGCTGGGGTCACTGCCGGGCCTAGACAAGGTGTAGGCGGCAGGTAGGGCCCAGGCCGGCGGCCACCTTGTGGCGCTCAAACAGGGTGCGCAGTGCCGCCACGTAGAGCGCGTGGTAGTGTAGCACCTCCTCTGGCGTCGCCTTCACCCGCCGTGGAACTGGGATGGGGCTGCCCACTGTGGGTCAAGGGGTAGTGGCCAGCGGGGACGCAGGGGGCAGCCACCTGGCCCAGCTGCGCCCACTACCCCCTGGCCACACCCCCATGCTCCAAGCCCTGTCCTCCATGCTGTAGGCCCACCCCCAAGCCTTGGAGGCACCCCTACTTCTTTCACTACACCAGTAACACTGGTATTTGGCTCCACCCCTTCTGCCCCAAGCCCCGCCCACAACCTTGTAGCCGTACACCCTGGGGGGCCACCTGTATTCTTAGCCTTTGGCTCCACTCCACAACACCTGTAACTCCGCCCCCATGTCTCCGGCTCCTCCCTTTCTCTCCGGGGCCCGCCTCCAGCTGTGTAGTCCCGCCTCCAAGGGGTTTGGCTTCCCCCTTCTGCTTCAGACAATCCTCCGAGGCCTGTAGCCAGGTCCTCACTGCCCAGGTCCCGCCCCCAGGCTCTTGGCTCCACCCCTACTCCAGACCCCGCCCCTGGGTCCTTAGCTCCTCCTGTGTCCCAAGCCTCTCCTCCAGCCCAATAGCCCCAACCTACCTAAAGCCCGCCAGTGGTCCCCAATCCCCGTCTCTTCTGTCCCAGGCCCTGACCCCCAAACCCTTAGCTCCCTGCCCAACACTGAAGCCCCACCCCATGCCCCCCTGAAAGCCTCTAGCTTCACCCCAAGTCACATCCCCAAGGCCCGTTGCCACACCCCTCTTCCACAAGCCCCGCCCCCAGACCCTTAGCCCCTCCTCCTGTGTGCTAAGACCCTCCAGCACCCCGTCCCCAGGTCCCCGCCCAGGATCTGTAGCTCCGCCCCTCCTCCCCAGGTCCCGCCCCCAGGCCCTCGGCTCCTCCTCCTGTGTGCCAAGAACCACCCACATCACCATGCCGGGCCCGGGGCCTTGGCCCCGCCCCCAGGGCCTATAGTTCCGCCCCTCGCAAACCTCATCCCCAAGGCCCCACCGTCCTCCTCCAGCCCCAAGCCCCGCCCCTGGTCCCGTAGACCCTCCCACTCCAAACTCCGCCCCCGAGACCTTAATCCTCCTCTTCACCCCAGGCCCTGCCTTCACTGCTTGTGGCTCCGCCCCCACCCCAGCCACGCCCCCAGGGCCCCAACCTTCCCCTGTAGCCCTTCCTCCAGCGCTAAGGCCCTCCTCCAGCCCCGTAGCCCTAGCTCACCCCAAACCCCGCCCTCAGGCCCGAAGCCCCGCCCCTACTCACCTACGACAGTGAGGGGGCGGGGCCTGGGCAGCAGCCCCCACTCCCCCCGGATGACGCAGGGCGCGAAGCCCACGAGCGCTCGGAACCGCTCCTGCAGGCGCCGCGCTAGGCCGCCGGGCGCGAACTGCGCTTGCGCGAACAGCTCGGGCTCGCCCAGGGACAGCAGCGGCACCAGACAGGCCCTGCGCGACCGCGGACCGTGTGGGTCGGAAAGCGGGGTCAGCAGGGAAGCTGCGCCAACCTCGCCCCCGGGCGGCCCGCCCACGTGATACCCCACGCGGCGTGGATCCGCACCCAGCCACTCTGAGACCGCGGATCCTCCCACGTGACACCCTTCGTGGCTTGGCTTTCCTCCACCCACTGAGGGACCCATTGCGCAGTCCCCACCGCATCCTCTGGATCCACCCACGTGACACCCCACACAGCGTGGATCCTCTGCACCCACTCAGGGACCTCCACCAGTGCAGCCCCCCATTCGCCCCCCACGCAGCGTAGACGCTCGGCCCCGCCCCCTCGCGCACGGGAGCACCCACCCGTGACGAAGCGCCACGCGCACAAAGCCCGTGCGCCTGAGCAGCGTGAGGCGGTAGGAGCCGGGGGCGGAGTCCAACGCCTCGGCGGCCCCGCCCACCACGATGCCCACGGCCACGCCGGGCCGCGACAGCAGGAAGTCCAAGCTGGCGCGGCTCACGGGGCACATCCCTGCGCGGCAAAAATAAAGGGACGCAAACACGACTCAAAATAGCACGCCGCGAGGGCGGGGCCGAGAAACCCGCGCAAAGGGCCCCAAATGCCCGTCGCGGCGGCTGAAAATACCGCGCAAAAGTCGCGCAAGCTGAATTTGAGGA